AGGTTGGGAGCAAAGAGGAAGGATCAACAGTTAGAAAATATGGCCTTGGTGATAGATATGATGCTGGAGAATGCATGATAGAATTCTGCAAGACAAATGATTTGTTCATTTCAAATACCATCTTTAGACAGCTGTACACATGAATATCACCCGATGAAATACACAGAAATCAAATTGACTACATTTCTGGAAAGAGAAATTGGAAAAGCTCCATATCAACAGCTAAAATAAGGCCAAGGGCAGATTGTGGAATAGACCATCAATTGCTCATATGCAAATTTATACAGAATTTGAATGCTGAGAAAATGAAAACAAGTACGCAAGAGCCAAAATATGACCTTGAATATTTCGCACCTGAATTTAGAGATCATCTGAAGACCAGATTTGATATATTTGAAGACCAAAGAGTTGTGGGATAACATCAAGAACGTCATACAGGAAAAAAGCAAAAAGTCATTAAGAAGACAAGAAAGAAGGAAAATATCAAAATGGATGTCAGAAGAGACTCTGAAACTTGCTCTCCAGCATAGAGATGCTAAAGCAAATGGAAGAAATGAGGAGGTCCAAGAGCTGAGCGGGAAGTTTCAGAGTTCAGCTCGAGAAGACAAAGTCAAATATTACAACGAAATGTGCAAAGATCTGGAGTTAGAAAAACAAAGGGAAGATCACCCTCAGCATTTCTCAAGCTGAGGGAACTGAAGAAAAAATTCAAGCATTGATTTTCATTATTGAAGGATTCTCTGGACAAATTGTTGAATGATGCCAAAAGCATCAAAAGAAGATGCAAGGAATATACAGAGTCACTGTACTAAAAGGAAATGGTCAATGTTCAACCATTTCAAGAGGTGGCATATGATCATGAGCCAATGATACTGAAGGAAAAAGTCCAAGGTGCATTGAAGGAATTGGCAAACAACAAGTTACCAGGAATTGATGGAATAAAAGTTGAAATCTTTCAAGAAAGTGAGGTGGCACTGGATGCATTCACTCATCTATGCCAAGAAATTTGGAAGACAACTATCTGACCAGCTGATTGGAAGAGATCTGTATTTGTGCCCAACAGAATGTAGAAATCATTGGGCAATATCGTTGATATTCCATGTGAGTAAAGGTTTATTAAAGGTAATACACAAAAGGCTGCAAGCATACATTGACAGAGAACTTCCAAAGGTTCAAGCCAGATTCAGAAGAGGATGTGGAACAAGGGATATCATTGCTGATGTCCAGTGGATCTTGGATGAAAGCAGAGAATACCAGAAAGATGTTTTGTTGTTGTTGTTAAGTGCCGTCAAGTCATTTCCGACCCATAGTGACCCTGAACAGGGTTTCCAAGGCTGTAAATCTTTATGGGAGGAGAAAACCTCATCTTTCTCCCACGGAGCAGCTGGTAGTTTCGAACTGCTGACCTTGAGGTTCACAGCCAGATTTGTAACCCCACTACGCTACCAGAGCGCCTTAGAAAGATGTTTACCTGTGCTTTATTGCGTATGCAAAGGCCTTTGATTGTGGGGATCGTGACAAGCTATGAACAGCATTGTGAATTATGAATATTTCAGAATACTTAATTGTACTCATGAGGAACCTGTACATAGACCAAGAGGCAGTTGTTAGAACAGAACAAGGGAATGCTGAATGGTTTAAAATTAGGAAAGGTGTGTGACAAGGTTGTATTCTTTCACCATACTTATACAACCTGTATACTGAGCAAATAATCTGAGAAGCTGGGTTCTATGAAGAAAAACGTGGCATCAGGATTGGAGGAAGACTCATTAACAACCTGCAATATGCAGATGATACAACCTTGCTTGCTGAAAGTGAAGGGGACTTAAAATACTTATTAATGAAGATAAAGGACCACAGGTTTCATTATAGATTGTATCTCAATGTAAGGAAAACAAAAATCCTCACCACTGGACCTATAAACAACATTCTTATCAATGGAGAAAAGATTGAAGTTGTCAAAGACTTAATTTTTCTTGGATCAACCATCAACACTCATGGAAGCAGCAGTCAAGAATTCAAACGACATATTGCATTAAGCAAATCTGCTGTGCAAGACCTTTTTAAAGTGTTAAAGAGCAAAGATGTCAGCTTGAGGACTAAGGTATACCTGAGCCACACACGTTATTTTCAGTAACCTCATATGCTTGAGAAAGTTGAATAGTGAATAAGGAAGATTGTAGAATAATTGATACATTTAAGTTATGGTATTGGAGGAGAATATTCAAAGTACCATGGGTTGCCAAAAGAACAGATTGATCTGTGCTGGAAGAAGTGCAGCTAGAGTGCTCCTTGAAGGCCAGGATGACCAGACTATGTCTCTCATACTTTGAACATATTGTTAGGAGGGACCAGTCCCTGAAGAAGGATATCATGTTTGGTAAGTTAGAGGGTCAGAGAAAAAGAGGAAGTTCTCCAGCAAGGTGGATTGGCAAAGTGACAGCATCAATGGTCTCAAGCGTGGCGCAGAACCGGGCAGTATTTCATTATGTTGTGCATAGGGTCTCTATGAGTCAGTATCAACTCAGTGGCACCTAACAACAACAACACTGACTCATTTCCTCCTCAGGGAAGCCAAGCCTGCCCACCCAGACTAGGGCAGGACCTCCCACAATGAGTTCCTGTAAGACTGTACATTGATACTTTATAGCACCGATCTTTTTAAAATTAAACATTTGTTTGGGTGGTTATTTTATTAATGCCTACCTCTCAGTGGACTCTCAGTTAAAACAACCATGTCCATTTTGTTCACCATTTTCTCTCCAGTACCATATGCAGGCATAACTTATTTAAAAAAAAAAAAAACAGTTTCCATCCAGTAGACTCCAATTCATGGTGACCCCATGGGTGATGATACTGGGTGGGGCTACTGAACGTCATGAAATAGAGTATTAAAGAGGTTTATTAGAGGATGAAAACCTAAAGGGAAGACGTGCAATAGATAGTAGAGCCTCTCCATGCTCACAGTCAAAGGTATATTTATAGTGAAAGAATAAGCTGCAGATGTGGTTCTCACAGATTTTTAAAAAGGGAGTACTGGGATTCGGTTAAGGAGAAGTTAATAGGTGGTTGATGATTAACAACCCCCACTGGGTAGTTGAATAGGGAGGGAGGTGTCGGGGACTTGCCTCGACATAGGGGTTCGGTTCACGAGGAGGAGATACCTGGCAGCAGTAAAGATATAGCAAGAACACACAGAAAGAGACAAAGAGAGAGACAAAGAGACACTCTGAAACCAGAGTGAATGCTGGACTGGCATCAGGCAGATCCTGCATTGCAAACATCTCAGCCACAAAGGCCATAATATCCTGCATAGTAATCATCTTAGCTAAACAAGCAGTATGGTTGCAAGGCTGGACTGTGCCCCCTGCATGCTGTAACGCACGCCTTGCCAGTCGTGATGCACCTGGATTCATTCTGCGCCTTCCTTTTATTTAGGGGAGGAGCTTCACACCAAGCTGGGAGGGACTTAGGCAAGGTACAGCTAACATCAGTACTTTTCCAGACATTCAGGTAACTTTACGTCGCACTTTGCTGGTTCGAATCCCAGGCCAGCACCTTGGTTTCTCAGGCTCAATTAACATATCTATAGCCCCTGAGCTCAGTTGGGGGAAGGTGAGAGGTAAGGACAAAAGCTTGGGCAGAGTCCCGCTGTTTCAGCTTCCTGAGCCAGGTTTTCAGGAGGATTCAAGACGCCCAGGTGAATGGGCTGCACCTGGAAAAGGGATTAGGAAGGATGGGTTCTTTGTCTATAGAACAAAGAACCGAGAAGTAGCTAAAATATTTTTAGTTGATCCTTTGGAGAAAGGCTTGACCTTGCAACTTTTACAATCTTCGGCTTTAGGAAAATATCACATTTATCTGTGGACATTAAGGGCTCATGTCTGCATTTAATTATAACATAACCGAATACTAAGATGAAAAACAATTTGCTATTGACTGCCAAGTGGCTAGATCTGTTACACTCGGGCCTATAGGGCCTCGAACCTCTGACCAGGCCTACACAGTCTGCAACAGAGAGGTTTCACAAAACTCACTGGGTTCAAACACACAAGGAGATAGATTTCGTTTTGTTTTATATTGTTTATATCCTGCCTGCCTGTCGAGGAGATAGATTTTTTTTTTTTTATCGCTGTCCATATTCTGCCCCTCTGTTCTTCATGTCTGGAAGTTTTTTTTTTATGGTTCCATGGATCTTTTCGTGCTGCCTCCACCACTGATCTTTTTCCTCAGTAATTTTCCTCCTGTTCCCTTACCCTAACAGTGTCAGAGTAGAACTGTCTCCATAGGGTTTTCAGTCACTGATTTTTCAGAAGTAGTTCTCTTGGCCTTTTTTCTGTGGTACCTCTGGGTAGACTCAAACTGCCAACCATTTGGTTATCAGCAATCACGTTAATCATTTGCAGCCCCCAGGAAATCCCACCTGGCTGATACTGTTGTTAAGTCCTGTCAGTTCCCACTCATAGTGACCCTTTATAGGGTTTCATAGGCTGTAAATCTTTGTGGGAACATTCTCCTACAGAGCAGCCATTCGGTTCAAACCGCCGACCTTATAGTTCCCAGTCCAGTGCTTATCCTTTGGAGCCACCACACTCCCCTAATAGTAGACAGTGAATTTTCAAAGAAGGAATAAAAGTAATAAATGAACCTAAGAAGCCAAACTTGGTATGTTTTTCACATTACCCTAGGACAGGGGTTGGCAAACTATGGCTTGAGAGTCAAATCCAGCCCTTCTGATTTTGTAAATCAAGTTTTATTAGAACACAGTCATGTCCCCTCATCTACACATTGACTGTGTCTTCATTCTCGCTACAGCAGCGCAGTTGAGTAGGTGTAAGCGAAACAGTCTGACACGCGATAACAGAAATATTAACTCTGTGACCATTTATTTAGAAAGATTTGTGAACCTGCCCTAGAATCCTAGTGAGCTCAAATGAAAAAGGTAGGGTTCTGAGAATGGAAGCAACACTGTTGGAGCTAACCTGTACTTATTTTGTTAGGTGTTTGAAATGCTCATTAATCCTGGAGATAATATCATCTTAGATGAACCTGTTTATTCAGGAACACTTCAAGCTGTGAGTACCGTTTTTTTATAAGGCGCCTCTCTTTCTTAAATAAGAAATGATTGCACATTTAAAATTATCCCTGTCCATCAGAAAATAAATTGACATGTTTTATCAGTAAACAGAATTCTAAACGGTATCTATAAAGTATGTTAAATGTGCCCTGTGCTTCAGAATCCCTGGTGGTGCTGTAGCATAGGTGTTGAACTGCTTATCACAGGGTCAGCAGTTCAAACCCACCAGCTGTGCTCTGAGGGGAAAAGATGAGGCCGTCATGTCCTGAAAGTTGTACAGTCTCAGAAACCCTATATAGGGTCACTAGGAGTCAGAATCAACTCAATGGCAGTGGATTCAGTTTTTGCTATGGGTACTGTCTGCTTTATGAATACATTTTTTGTTGTTACACTCACAATTACAGAAGGATACAAAGAAAACTTGGTACAACATCCAAATGTTGTTCAGTGCCGTGGAGTCAGTTCCAGGCCATAGCCACCCTGTGTAGGGTTTCCAAGGAACAGCTGCTGGGTTTGAACTACCAACCTTGTGGTTAGTAGTCCAGTGTTTATCCTTCAGCACCACACCAGGACTCCAGATATCCTCCAAATGAAGTCACATAATTAAAAGAAGACCATACCCACTGCCATCAATCAACTCTGACTGATAGCTACACTATCTATATATAAGGTTTCCAAAACTATAAATATTTATGGGAGCAGATAGCCTTGTTTTTCTCCCACAGAGCAGCTGGTTGGTTTGAACTGCTGACTTTGTGGTTAGCAGCCCAGTGCTTATTCTACACCACCACCAAGGCTCACATGGAATGCACTTAATTCCTCCTAACATTATAAATCCAAATTTATAGATGCTAAAATTACCTTATACACAATCATGTCCAGTTTTCTTAATATTTTACTTGAAATGTAATTTAATTTACAAAACATTAGTTTTTCATCACCAGCTTTTATTACTAGCTTCAGCCTAGGCAGCTATGTACTGCTATGTATAAATGACCCCAGTGTCTTAGTGGCTCACAGCTATAAAGGCTTAATGCCCTCTCAGACTTACACACATCCTCGTAAGCTCAGCTACCTTTTCCATATCACCTTCATTCCTAGCCCAAAGTTGGTCGTCTTAACACTGTCAGTCTTAGAGGAGAGGAAAAAGAGAGAGAACCACCAGCTGGGTCTTAAAGCTTCTTCTTAGAAGAAACACACACACACACATTGCTTCTGGTCACAGTATATTGGCCAGTGCAAGACACATGGCCTTCCTAGCCTAACATCAGTGAGGCAGAGAAGTATGGTTCTTCCTGTAGAAAGGAACAGGGGACATTTTTGAACAGTGTTTAGATCTACCCCAGGAGACCTCTTTAAAGTGTTCAAGAGCAAAGATGCACCTGACCCAAGCCTTGGTCTTTTCAATCATCACCTCATAGGCATATACCCACAAGAGTACAATAGAATTAGAATATACAGCCTCAATCCTGTGGCGCTTAAAACTGAGTATAATTTCATATATGTTTCAGGGTAAGCAATGTTCTTAGTATAAGAAAAATCAGTGGCACTTACATTTTGTAATCAAGTCTTAATCTTGGATTGTCTTTTTCACCTATGTTCAACAGCTGCAACCACTGGGCTGTAACATTATTAATGTTTCCAGTGATGAATATGGAATCGTTCCAGACTCCCTCAAACAAGTACTTTCTAAATGGAAACCAGATGATTCACATAACCCCAAGAAAAACACCCCCAAATTTCTTTACACTGTTCCAAGTGGCAACAACCCTTCTGGAATCTCATTAACAACTGAACGCAAAAAGGAAATCTATAAGGTATTTTATAAGAATGTTATGTGACTATGTTATGCTTTCTTTTAAAGATTTTAGGTAAGTTCCTTTTCTATTTAACCTCTTGCCTTCAAGGAAGTTCATTTGAAAAACAAACCATCTGTGCCAAGGGTCCTAATCCATTTAGACTCAATAGAATACTAGATTATTTTTCTTTCCGTTAGTTATTGTTTTTATATAAAAGAAATACCATTCGAGACTTGATGGTAAATTTTATGAGCTTATTTAATCTTTGACCCCAGGTTTGATTTTCATTATTTTCTTTGTATTCTTAACTTGTCTCTTCTTTCTAGTCCTTTACCGGTGAAGTCGCAAAGAATCCTCCTTTTATAAAATCTCTTTTACGTACCCATCCGTGACCCCTGGTTTTCTCACTATTAACACTGAGAATAAAGTATCAACCACATACAGATTTATGTTTTTGTTGTTGATAAGTGTCATCGAGTCGGTTCCAACTCATAGTGACCCTGTATATGGTTTCCAAGGAGCAGCTGGTGAGCTTGAACCACCAATTTGGCAGTTCAAACCAACCTTGCAGTCTAGCACATTAACCCACAGCATAACACCAGGACTCGTTTTCAAATAAAATAAAAGATGTACTTTTTATATGGTACGATTCAAACCAACAAGCCACTCCCTGGGAACCCTAGACTGGGATAGGGAGGGTCCAGCCCATGGGCCATTTAAGGCCCTCAAAATCATTTTGTCTGGCCCTGCCAAGGCAACTGTAGTTCCAGCCATCACGTTGTTGTTGTTGTTAAGTGCCATCAGTTAATTAAATGTTTGACCAAATATGGCAGGTTAGTTTTTAAGTTGATAATTTTGCATGGTCCAAGAATAATATTATAAATATCCAAATGGCCCTTGGCACAAAAAGATTCCCCAACCCAACCAGAATGTTCCCTGGAAACCAGGATGGCCAGACTTAGTCTGTCATACTTCGGACATATTTCAGACATATTGTCAGGAGGGACCAGTCCCTGGGGAAGACTACCACGTTGGTAAAATGGAGGGTTAGAGAAAAAGAGGAAGGCTCCCAACAAGATGGGTTGGCACAGTGGCAGCAGCAATGGACTCAAATTTAGCAATGATTGTGAGATTGGCACAGAACTAAGCAGTGTTTCGTTCTGTGTGCATAGGGTTGCTATGAGTCAATATTGACTCAATGGAACTTAACAACAACAGCAATAACCCTGTCATAGACAGAGTCAAGATGAGTTGGAACCAACTCAATAGCACTTAACAACAACAATACTCCCTAGCCCTTCACTACAAATAACTTTTTTTTAAAACTTTTTATTATGAATAAAGTGAAGGTTTACAGACATGATAATCAGTTTTACATTCAACAAATCATACACTGTTTTATCTCAATGATTACAGTCCCCTCCTTGCATTAAGAGTTGTCCCACTTCCTCCATGTGTTACCCATATACAAATATCCTTTTTCAAACATATATTTGTGGGATATATAAATAAATATATAGCCCACATTTCCTCCCATACCCTACGCCTCTGTCCATGTATCTATACACAAAACACTCTTCCAAGATTGTGTATATATATAACTATTTACCTCTATCCCATTTAGCCCTTGCTTACCTCCCTGTGTTTTCACCTGTCTTCATCATTCTTCTGCCAACCTCCCTCTTCTTGTACATTGCCCTCCCCATCACCTGAGTTAATATTTGTCTGCCCTCCAGCCAGTGAATTATTACCCCTGGTAACTATCAAAGAATATTACTTTAGTCTGAACACCTTTTCTTTAGTTTTTACAATAGTGGTCTCATACAATATTTGTCCTTTTGTGATTAACCTATTTCACTCAGCATAATGTCCTTCCAGGTTCATGTTATGAGGTGTTTCATAGATTCATCGTTACACTTCAGCATTGCATAGTATTCTATCTTGTGTATGTATCACAGTTTGTTTATCCATTCTTCCATTGATGGGCGTTTAGGCTGTCTCCATCTTTTTACTATTGTGAATAGTGCTATAATGCCCATTGGTGTGCATATATCTACTTGTGTCCTGGCTTTTATGTCTTGTGGATATATACCAACTAGAGAGATTGATGGGTCATACTTATTTTTAGTTTCCAAGTTTCTGAGGAAAAACCATATCCTTTTCTACAGTCTAATCAGCAATGTAGGTGGGGTCCCAGTCTATCCACACTCTCGCCAACATTTGTTGTTTTCTGTGTTTTTGTACTTTTCTATTAATGCTGGTGTGCGATGATATCTCATTGTTATTTTGATTTGCATCTCTCTAATGGTAGGATCGGCACTGGACTGCCAAGCACAAGGTCAGCAGTTCAAATCCACCAGCTGCACCTCAGAAACCATATACAGGGTCGCTGTGGGTCGGAACCAACTCGACAACACCTAGCAACAACAACAATGGCTAGTCATCATAAATAAACATTTCTTCATATGTTTATTGGCTGCTTGAATGTCTTCTTTGGTGAAGTGTCTCTTCATGTCCTGTGCCCATTTTAAAATTGAGTTGTCTGTGTTTTTCTTGTAGAGATGTTGTAGTTTTCTATAAATTGTAGAGACTAGTCCCTTGTGTCATATGTCGTAGCAACAAAATGTTTCCCAGTCTGTGGGCTGCCTTTTTACTCTTTTGGTAAAATATTTTGATGCACATAAATATCTAATTTTTGGGATGTCCTTTTATTTTCTAATGTCTGTTTGTTTTTAGTAATGTTTTTAATACATAGTATATTTATGCTATGTATTAAAGCCCCTACGTTTGTCCCTGTTTTTACATTGTTGATCCTTATAGTTCTAGGATTTACATTTAGGTCTTTAATCCACGTTGAATTTGTTTTTTTATATCATGTGAAATATTGAGTCTTGTTCCATTCTTCTGCAAATGGATTTCCAGTTTTTTGGGGGTTTTTTGATGTTTTATTGTGAATTATGTGATAATTTACATGGGAGAACATTCATTTTACATTCATCCTATCGTGTATCGTTTCATTGCCATGGTTTCAATCCCCCCCATGCATCATCAACCAACCAAAGGTTTTACCCCGCAAGCCTGCCCCCTGGTCATCAGCACACAGTCCCTCTCCCTCTCTGGGTCTAAAGTCCCCAGCCGCTCCATCTCTACACGTCGTCGTCTCTGCCTCCATCTATGGAGTCACTGTTTCTCTTTGTAGGATCCCGCACACCGCTCTTTTCCCTTGAGGGTTCCAGGGACCTCTGCTCCTGGACTGCAAAGTCATGGATTTCCAGTTTTGCCAGTACCATTTGTTGAAGAGATTATCTCTTCCCCATTTAAAGTATTTTGGCCCTTTGTCAAAATTCAGCTGATTGTAAGTGGATGGATTTACTTCACCAGAGCATTGATATATGTACCTTTCACTGTACAGTTCCAGGCTGTTTTGACCACTGTGGCTGTGTAGTAAAATTTGAGATCAGAGAGTGAGAGGTCTTAAACTTTGTTCTTCTTAAGCAATACTTTGCTTATGTGAGGTCTCTTTCCTTTCCATATTAGGTCTGATCATTTTTTTTTTCCTTCTCTTTAAAGGATGATGTTGGAATTCAAATTGATATTGCATTATATCTATGGATTCTTTAGGTAATGTTGACATTTTCACAATGTTAAGTCTTCCTATCCATGAGTATGGTATAGTCTCCATTTTTGTAAGTCTGTTTTGGTTTCTTGTAGTAGTGTTTTGTGTTTTCTTTTTATACATCTTTTGTTTCTCTGGTTAGATTTATTCCAAAGTACTTCATCTTGTGGGTGGCTTTTGTAAATGGTATTGTTTTCCCTTTTTACTTTTCAGAGCTGTCTTCATTTTTAAGAGTGTATAGAAATCCAATTGATTTTTGTATATTGATCTTGAACCCTGCCATTGGCTGAGTCTGTCAATGAATGCCAATAATTTTCTTGCTGAGTGTTTAGAATTTTCTATGTAAATAATCATATCATCTGCAAATAGAGAGATTTACTTCTTCTTTGCCAATCTTGATGCCTTTAATTTCCCTTTCTTGCCTTATAGCTCTGGCTAAGACTGCCTATACAATATTGAATAGGAATGGTGGTAAAAGACATTCTTGTCTGGTTCCTGGCTGCAGAAATTATGTTTCAGTTTATCTCCGTTGAGGGTATTGTTGGCTGTTGGATTTGTGTGTATGCTCTTAATTATGAATTTCTCTTCAGTTCCTAGTTTGTCAAGTGCTTTTAGTAGGAAAGGATGTTGGATTTTGTCAAACACTTTTGCTGTGTCAATCCTTATGATAATGTGGTTCTTTTCCTTTGTTGTCTTTATATGGTGGAGTGCATTGATTGCTTTTTAGTATTGAACCATTCTTGCATCCCTGGAATGAATCCTACTTGGTCATGATGTATTGTTTTTTGGTATGTTGTTGAATTCTATTGGCTAGGATTTTGTTGAGAATTTTTTCATCTATTTTCATGAGAGATATTTGTCTATAATTTCCTTGTTTAGCGATGATTTTGCCTGGTTTGGGTATGAGGGTTATGCTTATTATATAAAATGTATTCTGGAGTTTTCCATCCTTTTCTATGTTTTGAAATACTCTGAGTAAAATTTGAGTCAGCTCCTCTCTGAACATTTGTTATAATTCACCAGTAAAGTCTCGGCTTGGACTTTTTTGGGGTGGCGGGTGAGGGTAGTTTTTTAACATACCTAATCAGTTTATTCTTCTTTTATATATCTTTTCAAGTTTTCTGCTTCACTCTGTGTTAGTTTAAGTAGGTTGTGTTTTCTAAAAATGTGAGCATTTCATCTAGACTTTTAAATTTATTAGAGTACGGTTCTTCATAGTATTCTGTTATCCTTTTTTTCCATTGGTTGTTGTGGTGTCACCTATATCATTTCTTACGCATGTTGTTTGCATCTTCTTCTTTTCTTTTGTTAGGTTTATCAATGGTTTGTCAATTTTATTAAACCTTTCTAAGTACAAATTCCTTGTCTTGTTTGAAGGACCTCCCTTTAGTATGAGGGTGAGTCAAAAAATATTCGCACTTCGTTTATATCAACAAACCCACCCACGTCCACAGCTGATGGCAACATTCAGTGTGCACATGAAATGATTCTGACAGTAATTGTATACAAATCATTTGCAAATTAGCCATGACTCTTTCTATGAAATAATCCACAACAGATGGGTTTCGAAAAGTTTGTGCGAAGTGGATACCAAAACAACTCACAGAAGAGCTTAAGCAGAAACATTTGGACATCTGCAAACAACATTTGGAATAATACTAGAAAGAAGGTAAAAGTTTCTTTAAAATATCTGATGATACATGGATTCATCACTATGAGTCTGAGAGTAAATGGCAGAGTATGGAACAGAAAGATCCTCAGTCGCTGACCAAGAAAAAGTTTAAAAGTCAACCATCAGCTGGAAAATTGGTGCTTACAGGTTTTTGGGAATCTCAAGGGTCAGTATTGGAACACGGTCAGGAAAAACGTTCAACAATCAACAGTGCTCTTTACAGTGAGGTGCTCACTGAAAAGCTGAAGCCTTTACTTTGGATTAAAGGCAGAGGACTGCTGTCCAAGGGCTTTGTAATCTTGCATGATAATGCACTTCCACACACCTCTGCCCACACTGTTGACACTGCAAAAACTTTGTTTTGAGGTGTTAATGCATCCGCCCTATAGTCTTATCTTGCTCCATCAGACTTTCACCAATTTGATCCCCTGAAAATAGTCATTTGAAGATAAAGATTTGCTTCTGATGAAGACAGTGATGCATTTGTGACTTTCAGCTCAGCCTTAAACATTTTTTAATAAGGAACTATAAAAGGTTGTTGACAGATGAGCAGATTGTATTGAAAAGCAAGTAGATGATGCCAAAGAATGATATATTTGTCTTTTCGAAAAGTTGATTAAATACATGTTTGTTAAGGTGCAATGTCAGAGAAAAATAAGAAGACTCCCTAGGAGATGGATTGACCAAGTGGCATCATCGATGGACTCAAGCGTGGCAACAGTAGAAAGGTTGGCCAAGGATCAGGCATTGTTTCATTCTGTGTATAAGGTCACTATGGATCGGTACTGACTTGATGGCACCTAAGAACAACAATAACAATGACAGCCATAATGGTGATAATTTTTACTTACCCTCATATTTTTTTGTAAAGCTGGCTTGGTTTTTGCAAATTTCTTTAAATTCTGTTTATCTGGGGATGTCCTGATTTTGCCCTTGTATTTTTGGGATAATTTTGCTGGGCATATGATTCTTCTTCTTGGATCAACCATCAACACTCATGGAAGCAGCAGTCAAAAAATCTAACGACGTATTGCATTAGGCAAATCTGTTGACCAAGACCTTTTTAAAGTGTTGAAAAGCAAAGATGTCAGCTTGAGGACTAAGGTGTGTCTGACCCAAGCCATGGTATTTTCAGTAACCTCATATGCATGTGAAAGTTGGATAGTAAATAAGGAAGACCGTAGAAGAATTGATGTTTTTGAGGAGAATATTGAAAGTGCCATGGGCTGCCCATAGAACCAACAGATCTGTTTTGGAAGAAGTAAAGCCAGAGAGCTCCTTGGAGTCCAAGATGGCCAAATTTTGTCTCTCATACTTCGGACATATTGTCAGGAGGGACCAGTCACTGGAGAAGGATATCATGTTTGGTAAGGTAGAGGGTCATAGAAAAAGAGGAAGACCCCCAGCGAGATGGATTGACCAAGTGGCAGCATCAATGGGCTCAAGCATGGCAACAATAGAGAGGTTAGCCCTGGATGGAGCAGTGTTTCATTCTGCTGTGCATAATGTCACTATGAGTTGGCACCAACTTGATGCCACCTAACAACAACAACATGATTCTTGGTTGCCAATTTTTTTTTATTCAGAGTTTATGTATGTCTCCTCATTGCCTCCTTTCTGGCATGGTTTCTGCTGAGAAATCAGAGCTTAAACTTACTGGTTTTCTTTTGTAGGTAACTTTATGGTTTTCCCAAGCTGTTTTCAGGATTTTCTCCTTGTCTTTAATTCTGGAGAGTTTAATTATGATATGTCTTAGTGATTATCTTTTGTAGTCTATCCTGTTTGGAGTTTGTTCCGTTTCTTGAATAGTTATCTTCTTGTCTTTCATAATTTTAGGGAAATTTTCTTGCAACAGCTCTTTGACTTTGTCTATGCATTTCTTTATTTCTTCCTATTCTGGAATTTCAGTCACCAGTAAGTTATTCCTCTTCTTGTTGTCTCACATAAATCCTAAGACTATTTTCTGATTTTTCACTTATTTTCTCTGATTGTTCTTCTAACTTATAAGTACTGAGAGATTTATCTTCAAGCTCATTAATTCATACTTCCATTGATCCAAATCTACTCCTTTTCCCTTTTGATGTTTTATTCATTCCTGATATCTTAGTATTAATTTTCTGGAGGTCTGTTTGTAGGTTTTGTGTTGTCTCCAGTCTTTTATCTATTTTGTTTTATTTTTAGTGCTTTCCCAAACACTTGCTTGTTTTCTTTGAACTATTTGTAAATCCTTTGAAAGCACTTAAATATCATTCTCTTGAAATTTTTTCAGGTAGCTCCAATGCCTTTTTTCCCACAAAGTAGCATTCTAGTTCTGCCTCTTTGTCACTTGTTTGTGCCACTCTGTCTTATTTCTTTGTGTGAACAGAAATTGTCTTCTGTTTTCAAAACTTTATGATGTTATATTTGTATTAAGTTGATGACTGTATGTTGGTGTATTTTTAGGCACTCACCAACTGCCTTCTTGTGGGTATGATCAGATGAGCTTGTGCACCATTCTGTGTTCATGCAGTTCAGTTTAGGATGGATTTGGCTGGTGTTGGCTAGTGTTGTTGAAGCAGCATGTATTGACTCTTACCCAGTGCATGGGGCTGTAGAAGGTACAGTTGTGGCTGGGCTGTATGGCTGCTGTTGCTGTCTCCTGTCAGATGAGGCAAGAAAAGAAAACACAAACACAAAAAAAAGAAGTAAAACAAACACAAACCAGCAAACAACAGCAACAAAAAGGTTGGTGGTTCAAACTCTCCAGCTGTTCCTTATAAACATATACAGGGTTGCTATGAATCGGAACGATTCAGGGGCACTTAACAATATGTGTATGTTTGTATATGTTTATATATATCCAAAATGTTGTCTTATTATTTTGCACACTCTTCAGGGTTCCATCCTGAGTTTTCCCCACAGATAGACTCATCTACTTCCATGACTAAACCCTCCAATCTCTATAGTGATGGCTCCATATTGCCTAGCTCCTACCTTACATCTGAATTCCAGACTTCCGTATCCAACTTTATATTTGATATTCCAGTTGTTGTTGTTGTGTGCTGTCAAATCGGTTCCAATTCAGAGTGACCAATAGGATTTCTGATGCTGTAAATGTATTAGCTCCAGCTCTGCTGGCCTTCCTTCTACCCCTTAAGCATGCCAAAAAATTTTCCCTTGCCCTAGAACCTTTGCTCTCACTCTTTCCTCAGTCTAGAATCCTCTTCCCTGATATTTGCACAACTGATTTCTTCTTGTATTCTGAACTCTAGTGTTAAATTAACCTCATCAGGAAGTGCTTCAGGAATGACTCAACCTGAAATAGTTTCTCTTCCAGTCTCTCACACACATCATACCATTAATTATCTGCTTAAGACCTATAACCCAGCCAACTACTTTTTGTAAGTTGGTTGCCCATTGGCTTATGTATGTCCTGCCTCATCTGAATTCCATGAGAACAAGAGCCTCTGGTGTCATATTCATCTCTTTATCTTCATTTGTCTAGCACAGTGTTGTTGTCAGATACCATCAAGTCAGCTCTGACTCATGGCAACATCACTGATAACATTGTCCCATTCCTGTGCCATCTTCATGATCACTGGTATATTTGAATTTAGTGTTGAGACTTTATGTCAGCCCACCTCATTGAGAGTTTTCCTCTTTTTAGTCACCCTCTATCAAATTCAATAAATACTCTTTGAATGAATTAATGGATACTTTCAAAAACTATGATTTGTAATTATTCTAATTCTTAAGAATTACTTTTAATTGTTTTAGCTGGCAAGAAAATATGACTTCCTCATAATAGAAGATGATCCTTACTATTTTCTCCAGTTCAACAAGGTAAGTGATGATATGAACTATTTTCTCTATTAGAAAATAAATTGCAAATTGTTGCACTATATTTAACTTTAGCTTAGTCACTGAGTCAGAAATAATTCACTCCTAAATTGAATTTAAATAAATTATTACTAATTTGCTGCTACTGTTGTTAGATGCTATAAAGTCAGCCCCTAACTCCTGATAATCCATGTGTTACACAGTAAGGTTTTTTATGGAAGCAATTTGGCAGGCCTTTTTTCCTGGATGGTCTGAACCACCCACGTTTAGGTTAGCAATTGAACACAAAGTACTTGCACCACTCAGACTCCTTATATCAATCTACTACCACTTCACTTTTAATCTTTTGGTTTTATCAAGGAGTTAGTACTATTCATTTTTGGTATAACTGATGTCGGGGACCAGTCCCGACAAACTTATTAGGGGGCTCACGAAGGGAGATGTGAAGTCGGCAAAAGAAATCACACGGAGTCAATGGTTTGTGCTGAATTCTGATTGAAGCTTCTTTTTACTTAATTTTATTCAGATCCTTATATACCATTAAAATCTCATAGTGTACAATGATCTTGTACACAATCAATTTCTTTGAAGCATTACACATCCTTGATTATATCAATTTTTACTTTGTGTCTATACAATGTTAACGAAGGTATTTTTCTTAAAACAGTTTCCTTGGTCTTTTCATATCCTGTTCTTTTCATCCATCAAGTATTCTTTTTCATTGATACGTGGATGATCTTGTTAAAATACCTTAATCTTTCTGACATCCTAAAATGCCAAGTTAACCTTTAAGGATTCTTATTCCTTATTCCTATCTCTACCACCACCTGTTTCTTCTTAACTCTATTATCTATTAATTCATTAATCACAGCATGTACCTAAACATTATTTTTTATAATAACTGACAACACAATTGTTTCTCATGATCGATTAAACAAGAAAAACAAGAACATAAAAAAGCACTTAAAGTTTTGTAGTTAAGAATAAGCGGAACAACTTCTTTATATTAACAACTTCTCTATTCAAAACATCTAGTTAAATTTCTACCTATGATCTATTACTGTTCCCTCAGTTCTTGATTCTAATCTACTTTCCAGGGGTCTTAATATCCCTGACCAAAACTACACAGAATGTAGAACAGAATGTTGATTGTAATCTTAAACTTGAATTGGCAAAACTTTAGCTGGTGTGGTTTCTCCTAGTGGTGAAACTTATTGTTAATGTAAAAAGCATACTTTAGGGCTACACATGATTGAATATGGTGTGAAGGTGTCTAAATGTAATTTTTAACCTTTAATATGATCAGTGAAGAATTCTACTAAAAACTTCTTTAATAAAATCAAGAAAAATAAAAAATAAACTATTCATAAAAGGAAAAAGCAGAAACTGCAAGGCCCTTGAATTAGGTTCCCCTTGGGGCTTTGCCAACCAAGGAGACACTCCAACCAAGGAGTCGCTTTGCTAAAACAATGAGCTTTTCATGCGCTGGGTCTCTCGCCGTTCTGTTCCTTAATGGCATGGCCTCCTCTTTCCCAAAATTATTTACCTTTAAAATAGTAGCTGATTCTCTGTATTATGCATTTCAGGGCATTATAACAGTCTTCTTGAATTCTAAATCTTAATCCATAGCTTCTTAAACATCATTCTAGGGATGTCAAATGGGTTTCAGTTTGGGCATCACCTTTACTCTCATGGTAGTGACTGACTGAAATGATGCCTGGAATAAAATTCAGAATCTTTGTTCAAGGTGCAGGAATAAGAAGGCTGTGCTTGATGAGTGATGTCTATGAGAGAAATAGGAGATTGGCTGTCCAGGCAGCCTTCCCTAAGTCTACCATCCTTGTCATTTACATCCTGGGTCTTACCTGTAGATTTCAGATCCTTTCTCCTTTTTCATAATTACTGTTTCCTAAGGGTCGCTATGGGTCAGAAACAACTCGATGGCACATAACGACAACAACAACAATAGACTCTATAGTGGTACAGACTCCCAATACCTGATTCATCAAAATCCAACACCACGCAGTCACCATCTTTGTTTACTCTCAGTATTATAGATAATAAATGAGGCACTTCAAAAGTGAAAGGAAAAATTCTATTCTCTTTTAATTCTATTTGTCTATGAATTTTTGAAGTCCCTCATTTACTTGGAATCTGTCCTCACATTAATTTTACTGAAAAGAAACAGGAACTCTCAATTTATCTGTGGAATTTACTTCAGTATCAGTATGCCTACCTACCCTCTCAGCCTTAGCATAACCATGGCCTCCTTTTTTTCATTTGCATCTACTTTTAAAGTAGATATTGAGGTCAGAGTTCTATACTGACTGTATTTCTCATTTCATTTCCTGTCTTCATTTTTGTCTTTTTGACCTTTCTAGTTGATTTTAGGAGTCCTTGTGTGACCCTGTGGATTAATGCGCTGGACTGCCAAGTTGGTTTGATCTGTGAGATTGGCGGTTCAAGCTCACCAGCTGCTCCTCAGAAACCGTACACAAGGTCGCTATGAGTTGGAACCGACTCAATGGCACTTAACAACAATAATTTGATTCTAAGAATCAATACTTTTTCTCTGAACTATGCAGTATACTGCTGCCCTTCATTTTGATCTTCTCTTGATCTTCCTTGATCAAGTTTTTCTTGATCTTCCTCTATCCTGGGTTCCAACCCTTGGAGTAAGAAGGTTTCCCTAAATTCATAATAATGGCATCTTGAGCAAATGAAAGAGCCCTGAGGTGAGTATTTTTGCTTGTATTTGGCAGCAGAATTCATGAAGAGAGGCAGATGCTAATAAAAGAACAGGTATCTCTGTTTCATGTTCCCCTTTAAAGGGTTGAGATCAATGTGTAATGCAAGAGATATTTGAGCTACTGTTATCCCAATTCATGATCTCTAATTTCTATGCAAAGTATTTGTACAGTGATTATCACTCTCAAAACAACTGTGTTTTTTTTTTTTTCATTGTAAGTCCTGGGCACCGACATTTCTTTCCATGGACGTTGATGGCCGTGTCATCAGAGCTGACTCTTTTTCCAAAGTCCTCTCCTCTGGGTAAGGTCCTGTGTCTGTAACGTAAGATTCTGCATACAAGAGATAGAGACTGTACTTCAGTGTCTTTTAGTCAGACAATTTTTTTTTTTTTCATGTAAGATATTTGAATTCCACTTACCTTAAAATACCAGTTGGACTATTAACATGAGCATAGGCTTCTCTTGCCACTATCATCTTCAGTTAAAGGTTAATTTAAATCCATCTGAAGTTGTGGTGGGACTGATCAAGTTTTGAGGTTGACATATGAAAAAGTACAGTTTGAAATATTCAGAGTTGCATTGTATTTTAAATATACACTTACATTTAAATTTGTGTTTTAAATAAAAACTGGTTTTAGCAGAATGTTTTATCTAGATTGAGTCCTTCCCCAGATCACAACTCTTGTCATAATGGCATCAGTAAAGTGGTATGTATTGATCATTAGTGTGTGTGAATGGGTGAGCAATAACTGCTAATACATAAGTATGCCTTTTCTCTTTTTGTATAGGTTGAGAATAGGATTTTTAACAGGTCCCAAACCCTTGATAGAGCGAGTTGTTTTACACACACAAGTTTCAACACTGCACCCCAACACTTTTACACAGGTAAGAAGAATTTAGAAAATAGAATGCTTTATTAGATCAGAATAGACAATAGATGTTGGCAAGTGAGATTGAGTTATAGTGGGAGGAAGTAAAAATCACTGATATAGAATCTCCAGTTCAAGTACAGACTTAACTGAAAGACTACATGCCATAGATGTTTACTCTAATGAGAATTGAATTAACGTGGTATTATTTTGAGGCATGTACCAAATTCTTTCAGAGTCATGGAATCTTTTTATTGTGTGTCCCTAGCATCTGGCTTAGGAAATCTATAACACCTCTGCTGAAATGAACACAGTAGAACTGAACTTGGTGAAGTAATATAACTTCAGCTTCATTGTTTTGGAATCTGTAATGAGAGCTAGGATTAGTTTAGTGACTAATTGTTTACTTTTTTTACACATGTTCTGGCCTCTCCTAAAGACACTGATTGGAATGTTTCTTAATTAAAATAAAGGAAAATTAATTTTTGAGAATATATAAATTTCCAGACAATCTTTCAGAAATTATTGGTTCCATCCCTAATGCAGCCTTGAGAATCAATTCTCAAGGATAAAGTTGCTACTGAAGAACTCAAAATTAGTAGAAAAGTTTGTATATAATACTTATTTAATGTTGTACATTTCATAAAGTGCACATGTCTATAAATCTCCCTATGTTTTACCAAGCTGGGGGCTATTTCACACTTTTGTGTCTATCATCAACAAAACTTCTATTTACTTGTAATATTTGAAACTTCTGAATCTAAAATCAAGTATGTATTTTGTATATTTAGAGCAGCCGCATAATAGGGCCATTAACAGCATGATTTGACTTTGAATTGGGTCCTGACACTAGCTATGTGCTTTTGGGAAAGTTAACTTTTGTGCCTTGGTTTCCTCATCTGAAAACTAGAAGTGATAACATGCCTAAATAAGGCTATTAAGAAGATTAAATTAGCTAAAATATATTAATGTATTAGAAAAGTACCTGTCTCATATACTTATGTATTATTGTTGTTGCCATTGTAATTAATTAACATTTATTATTGTTGTTAAGTGCTGTCGAGTCAGTTCCAACCCATAGCAACCCTGTATGGGGTTTCAGAGGAGCTGCTGGTAAGCTTGAACCACCAACCTTGCAGTTTAAACCAACTATAATCCAACGCATTAACCCACAGGGCCACACTAGTATTCCACTGACTGTTCATAAAGTTAGTTCAGCATGTTGTATTTGTTTATGGAAAATAACATGTAATTAGAGTGATTTGTGTTTACATTTGGCACAAAAAACATTTTAGGGGATGAACCATAACATTTGTTACTGTTTTCTCTTTTCTAGCTTTTGGTATCACAGCTTCTACACCAGTGGGGAGAAAAAGGCTTCTTTGCTCATGTAGACAGGTATTGAGTCATTTGTTAAAATGTTTGTGAACAACGTAGGAGCCCAGTAGATTTGGTACACATCTGTGTGTTCATTTACTCCTCTCCCTTCCTAACTATCCCAACATGGACAGCAGGAACAGTCCATTAAAAGCAAAAAGGCTTTGTGTTTTATTAGCTATTCACCTCAGAAGTGTTTTTAGGATCTTCAAGGTTGGGGTGGAGAACATACATATTGGTTGAAAGGAGTCTCTACCCATACTAGGGTCATTTGAAATTATCTTGCCATCAAGGCAGTACCAACTCACAGTGACTCTGTAGAGGGTTTAGTGGTGGTGGGTATGTGCCGTGGAGTCAGTTCTGACTCATAGCGACCCTGCATATGGTTTCCAAGGCTGTAAATCTTTATGGGAACAGAAAGCTTCATCTTTCTCCCACAGAACCGCTGGTAGTTTCAAACTGCTAACCTTGAAATTAGCAGCCTGATTTGTAACCACTATGAAGGGAATAGAAACCTTCATCTTTCTTCTGCAGAGCAGCTAGTGGACTTTAACCGTCGATCTTGTGATTCGCAGTCCAGTGTTTTATCCTACAAAGCCAGTGGGCTCCCGTCTTACTAGACTGGGATTCACTTGTTTCACTGCTTTAGAGGATATGCACATGAGTTTACACATTCATACACATGAGTGTTTTAATCAATTAACTCTGAGAGACACGTGACACAGGTATTGGTTCACTACGATGAGCAAGGACATAGTATGCCTAAATAATCCATATATTGTACAAGTTATGAACTACTTTAATTATATAAATGTGGTACTTTCTACACCATTTTGAAATAAGGAGAAACAGTATCCTTATTCCCAGATCAGTGGTGCACCATTTCAACAGTATTTTCTCTGATACAGAGAGTTCTACTACCCTGAAATGACAATGATTATTTTGAAAATTAAAACAAAAAAGATGGATCCTGCTACTTCTCTTAGAACTATATTTTAAGTTGCATATTTTACTTAGAAACAGACTTTGCTTTATTTGTTTCCATTTTGTCATTATTTCACAATAAAGGCAAAAACAGAATTGTAAAAAGTTTTGTTGTCATTGTTGGTGGCTGCCACTGAGTTGGTTCCCATCCATAGTGACCCTATTTAAAACAGAACGAGCTGTCGCCCACATGTGTGCCATCCTCACAATTGCCGCTATGTTTGTAAAGTTTATCATAAGCCAACTCAAATAACTATGCTCTATTCTCTTGTTACGAATCGGGCTGCGAACCTTAAGGTCAGCGGTTCGAAACTACCAGCTGCTCCGCGGGAGAAAGATGAGGCTTTCTACTCCCGTAAAGATTTACACCCTCGGAAACCCTGTACAGAGTTGCTATGGGTCGGAACCGACTCGATGGCACTTAACAACAACAACAATTCTCTTGTCAAGCTTTCAACATTTTAACCAAGATGGAAAACTTGGTTAAAAATTGGACCCCAGAGCTTTTTCAGTACCTGTAATCAATGTACTAAAGACATCCTTTTTAATGTTTCCCTCTTCCAGGGTTATTGATTTCTATAAAAACCAAAGGGATGCAATGTTGGCAGCTGCCGACAAGTGGTTAAGAGGTGAGTAGAACACATGTATCATCCATATGATTAGTAATATGACCTATGTGAAAGATGGTCAGCACTACATAATATTGTTAATAGTTCCAGTCAAAAAGAAACAAGAGTTCAGAAGTTTCTTGCCAAGAAAATGTTATCCTAAAATGATCTCTGAAGTAACAGCGCACCCTGGCATAGTTCTGCCAACCTCTGTTTTATCCATCTCATGCAAAGCATTTGTGATGAAAGAAAATCAATCGGTCTAAAAGTCAGCCAGCAATCACGTAATTAAAGGAAAATAATGTTTATACACATAAGGTCTTAGGGTTATTTCAAAATTTGCCTCCAGTAGAAAAATAATTTCAAACAAGCAGTATACTCCTTTTTAAATTATACTGTATATAAGAAAGACAAAATAGGACAATCGAAGGTGAATCTCTTTATAAATTATTTACTTTCTAATCAGTCATTCACCTGGGGCCTTGGTGTGGCACCATAGAATAAGCACTGGACTGCTAACCACAAGGTCAGAGGTTCAAACCCACCAGTCACTCCTTGGAAACCATATACAGGGTCACTGAGTCAGAAATGACTCAACAAAACTTAATAGCAACAACAATCATTCACCTTATTTATTTGTCTTTATCTGTTACTAATTTGATTACAGAATGGTTTAGATTTAATTTTGTTATAAAGGAAATTAAAATTAATTACATGGCTTTTGGTATGAATAATAAAAAATAAATAAATAAAACCAACCTACCACCACCAAGTTGATTCTGACTCATAGCACCCCATAAGAACTGCCCTATAGGGTTTCCAAAGCTGGACTTTTTACAGAAGGAGACTGACACATATTTCTCCCATACAGCAGCTGATGGGTTTGAACTGCCAATGTTTTGGTTAACACGCTTAATCCACTGTACTATTAGGGCTCCTGGTATACTTTTCTTGTTAAGTGCCTTCGAGTCAGTTCCAACCCATAGTGACCCTGTATAGGGTTTGCAAGGAGCAGCTGGTGAGCTTGAATCACTGACCTTGTAGTTCAAATTGACCTTGCAGTCCAGCGCATTAGCCCACAGCACCACACCAGGACTCCAAAAATATCAACTCCTTATTAGTACCAACTTTTTAATAAGATTTACCACTTTAGATAAAGAGCCCTGGTATGTAGTGGATTTTGAGCAGGGCTACTAACAGCAGGGTCAGCAGTTCAGATCTACCAGTCACTCTGCATGAGAAAGATGAGGCTTTCTGCTCTCATAAAGATATGCAGCCTTGAAAACCCTATACAGGGTTACTATGAGTCAGAACCAACTCTGTGGCACACTGTTACCACTACTTTGGATGGAGCTGTGGTATGGTGCTGTAGGATAAGAATTGGATTGGTAACCACAAGGTCAGAGGTTCAAACCCACCTGCCACTCCTTGGAAGCCCTTTTCTGGTCCCTTGAGTTGGAACCAACTTAAGGGTACTTGACAGCAACAACAACCTCCACTTTAGATAATGTTGAAGAGAAGGTTTTAGTCCACAGTAAGTTTTCTTTTTAAAAAGTATTATAATTAAAATTGAAATGATTATTCTAATACTTAATGAAACATTGTTGGTTCCAACTCATAGCAACCTGTACAGGGTTTCCAAGGCTGTACATCTTTACAGGAGCAGAAAACCTCATCTTTCTCCATTGGTGAAATGTAACGCCTACAAATACATCTGGCATTCTTGAATTTCAAGTACTTTTGTAATTAATTACATTGTGAAAAAAATTCTCATCCTTTGACTCCTTAACAATTACATAAATGATAAGACTTACTAAAGCACTAGAAGAAACTAGAGTTGAAGAATCCCCTCCTAGAATTCAAGCAGCCATAGTCTTAGGTAGTTCTAAGGGAAGGAAATATAGGCACTAGATTTTTTTACTGGATTGCAGAGACACACACATAACTATTCACTCTTCTTCCTTCCCTTTCTCCCTCTTACCTTCAATTTTCAGGACTTATAAAACTGTTTTTTTAAATGCTATCATTGAAGAAACTTTTTCAGGAATACTAGTTTACAGTTACTGTACTATATCATTAAGAGATATATTTGATTTAATCTAAAATGACTACGGAAGATACTTATTATTCTCTTTTGTTTGTAGATTTGGCAGAATGGCATGTTCCTACTGGTGGAATGTTTTTATGGATTAAAGTTAAGGGCATTTCTGATACAAAACAATTGATTGAAGAAAAAGCCATTAAAAGTCAGGTAAAATGGGCTGGAGTGTGGGGTATTCCTCAAAAAAGTTATACATTTTTTTTCCTGAAAGTCATTCTTTATTTGAATAAAAGTAGAAATGTTTTTCTTTGCCCAGCACCCATACTCATAATGATGTAATATCACATACATAGGCTATCTCACTATTAAAATCATACCAGACCTTGGGGTACATAATTATTCAGTTTGCATGCATTAATGGTAATTCAGTCATTATATAATTTTGACTATGAAGTAGCTAAATGATTGAAATCACAGTCTTTAGAGTCACACTCTCTTGAGTTTGAATCCCAACTCTGTGTCTTACGGAATGTGTGGTTTGGGGTAGGTTCTGTACCTTCTCTATACCTGCTCTGTAGAATCCTTGTCTGATAGGGTTGCTGCAATGATTAAACGACTTGGTATATGCAAATCACTGAGACAAACAAAAGTGAGACCAATGAAGAGGGTGAGAGACTTAGCAATCCTTTAGCCATGTTAACAGGAGGGAGTAGTGCCTGGAGAAGGCAATCATGCTTGGTAAAGTGGAGGGTCATCAAAAAAGAGGAAGGACCCCCAACCAGAAGGACTGACACAGTGGCTGCAACAATGGTCTTAAACATAACAATTGTGAGGATAGTACAGGACTCCAGGCAGTATTTTGGTCTGTTGTGAGTTGATGTGACTCCATGGTACCTAGCAACAACAACAATGGAAAGTGTTAACAGTCTAAAATAGTTCTTTTCCTGGATATAAAGGTAAAATATTCTCATAGTAGCAAAATCGGAAACTACATAAAAGCATAAAGAAAAACTTTACCATGTTACAATAGCCCATCATTTTACCATGCAGATTCTGTGACCAGAGATTGTGGTGTGCTTTCTCGAAGAGCTTGTGTATATTCTAGTATATTCATTATGCAATTATTGTACATGGTTAAAATTACATAGAAAAGTTTGTATCCTACTCTTTTTTTGGTTTGTATTGTAAATTAACTCAGAAAAAGTTCTTATTGGATTTTTATTTTTCTCTTTCTGTACTTAAAATAAATCTGCTTAGAATTCACTTTGGCAATTGATTTAGCTGAAAAATCAAAATTTTTGCTGTGTTGCTTTCCAGTTTACCAAAGAAATGGTTACTTCTCTATTAATGAATTCTTTGATGATGTTTTCAGACTTTACGTACACTAAGATCTGTTCCTTTGAAGAGCAGAGATGTCAGCTTGAGGACTAGGGTGCGCCTGTCCCAGGCCATTGTGTTTCCAATAGCCTCATATGGATGCGAAAGCTGGACAGTGAATAAGGAGGATCGTAGAAGAATCGATGCCTTTGAGTTGTGGTGTTGGAGGAGAATACTGAAAGTGCCATGGACTCCCAAAAGAACCAATAAATCTGTTTTGGAAGAAGTGCAGCCAGAGTGCTCCTTAGAGGCCAGGATGGCTAAACTTCGTCTCTCCTACTTTGGACATATTGTCCGGAGGAAACAATCGTTGGAGAAGGATGTCATGCTGGGTAGGGTGGAGGGTCAGAGAAAAAGAGGAAGACCCCCAACGAGATGGATCAGCCAGGTGGCATCATTGATGGACTCAAGTGTGGCAGCGGTAGTGAGGTTGGCCCAGGATCGAACATTGTTTCGTTCTGCTGTGCATGGGGTCGCTATGAGTCGGTTCCGACTCGATGGCACCTGACAACAACAACAACAACAAGATCTGTTCCTAAGGTCATTTTTGTCTTTAAGCCATTAAGTAAAAAGAATGGGCTGGATTGCAGTGATGCAGTACCATCTTAGTGCATGAGAGACAAGGGAGAGAGAGTCAGCCTGCCTAGAGGGGAATGCTGGTTCCCCAGCCTTGGGAAAGTCACTTGTCCTCTAACTGTCTTACTTGAGGGCAGCAGGACTTACACTTTATTAAATATTCTACCTTTGTAACTGCACATACCCACTGCCATCGAGTCACGGTTGTAAATCTTCATGAAAGCAACCCAGCACATCTTTCATCCAGGGAATGCCTGGTAGGCTGAAACCATCAACTTTTTAGTTAGCAGCCAAGCTGCCTAAATCAGTCTGCCACCAGGGCTGCTTTAGTGACAGCATATGCTGTTGCTGTTGTGTATCATCAAGTCGGTTCCTACTCATAGTGACCCTGTATAGGGTTTCCGAGGAGCTGCTGATAGTTTTGAACCCGTAACCCTGCAGTTAGCAGTTCAGTGCTTATCCTATACCACCACACCAGGATTCCAGTAACAGCACATTTTTTGTTGTTAAGTGCCATCAAGTCAGTTCCAATTCATAGCCACCCTGTACAGGGTTTCTGAGAAACGGCTGGTGAGTTCGAACCGCCGACCTTGTGATTCAAACCAACCTTTCAGTCCAGTGCAGTATCATGTAGTGCCACACAGGACTTCAACAGCACAAGTTGTTGTTAAGTGCTGTTGAGTCCATTTCAATTCATAGAAACCCTATATAGGGTTTCCAAGGAGCAATTGGTGGGTTTGAACTGCTGACCTTGTGGTTCATAGTCCAGTGCTGATTCTATAGCACAACACCAATAGAACATAGTAGGTATTTAATAAATATTTAGCTGACTTATTTCAACGAAGCAGTGTAATGTAACCAATTTGATCTTTCTTTGATTTCTATTGATGCCATTTTATAAATGACTATTTGCAAGTATCTGAGCTAGTTGCTATGGATGTAAACTTAATATTGTTTTGTTTTGGTTTGGTTTTAAAACTGTTTTATATGAATTGAGTGAAAGTTTACAGAACAGATCATCTACTTTACGTTCACCACACCATGCACTGTGCTTCACTGCATGGTTACAATCCCCTTCATGTACCAACAGTTTACAGCATTTACCTCTATTCACTTTAACTATTGCATTCCCCCCTGTGCCTCCCTCTTCCTTCATTTATCCTCTGCTAACCTTCCTCTTGTTTATTTCCTGCCCTGTCACTCATGTTGACATGTGTCTACTCTCTAACCCATGAATAATTTTCTCTCCCCCTCCCTCCATTACCATCATAAATTATTTCTTTTATCAAGAAAACTTTTAAACTTTTACATTGGTCTCATACAATGTTTGTCCTTTTGTGATTAACTAATTTTACTCAGCATAATGTCCTCAGGTTCAACCATGTTATGAGGTGTTTCACAGATTCATCATTATGCTTCAACATTTTGTAGTATTCCATTGTGTGTATGTACTAAAGTTTGTTTAACCATTTCTGTTGATAGCATTTAGGCTGTCTCCATCTTGTTGTCTCCATCTTGTAGACAGCATATTGAAGGATCCTCTTTTCTTGTCCATTCTGCTCTTCATGTCTTTTACTGGTACATTTAATCCATTTGCTTTCTGTGTATCAAAAGGTACTGTTTGTCATTTTTCTTTGTTTTTGTGATGCTGCGGGATTCTTTGTTCCACATAAAGAATTCATTTTTATGTGTGTGGGTTTTCTTTTTATTTCAATTTCTGTTGTGTTAATGTTTGCTAAGTCACTGCAATTTTCCTCTTATTTTTATTTTGATGTACTGGCTTATTATTTTTCTTTGAAGTTGCCCTATAATTTATTAATTTTTCCCCAGCTTCAAACAGTCTGTTTTATCTTAAAATCTACTTGACTTCCTAGCCTTTTGGAAGTTCTGTATCTTCACAATGCCCTCTTTGCTTTGTAGTTGACTTCATCATATATTGATAACTCTGATTCCCTATTTCCAGTCTTAAAGGTTTGTTTTACTTTAAATACTTTTATATCTGGATTGAGTTCTGGGTGGTTTTGTCATGTATGGTAATCTCAGATTGTTTTCTGTGTTGTTGGTCTAAACAACACCCATTAGCATTTTTTGCAAAATTGGTCTGGTCATTACAAATTCCTTTAATTTATGTTTATCAGAAAGTCTCCTAATTTCGTCATATTTGAGGGACAGCTTTGCTGAGGATGTGATTCTTGGTTGGCAATCTTTTTCTTTCAGAGTTTTGCATATGTCATTCTATTGCCTTCTTGCCTGCATGGTTTCTGCTGAGGAATCAGAGTTTAGTCTGTAGGTAATTTTTCATTTTTCTCAAGCTGCTCTCAGAATTCTTTCCTTTGTTTTTGAAAAGTTTGATTATAATATGCCTTGGTGATTTTATTTTGGGATCTATGCTTTTTGGGTTTCATTCAGCTTTTTGTATGCTTATCATCTCTTCTTTCATGATGTTAGGGAAGTTTTCTCCCAACAACTCTTTGACAGTTTTCTCTGTGCTTGACTCTTCCTGGTCTGAACTTATCATTACCTGTAAGTTGTTTCTCTTCATGGTGTCCCAGATAACTCTTAGGCTTTCTTTGGATTTTTTTCTTTTTTTATTTTTTCTGATTGTTCTTCTAGCATACTAGTATTGAGAGACTTATCTTCAGGCTCACTCATTCAGGCTTCCATTACTTCACATCTACTCCTTTGCCTTTTCAATGTGTCCATTACTTCACATCTACTCCTTTGCCTTTTCAATGTGGTTTCTGTTTCTAAGATCTTAATATTAATCTTCTAGATTTCTAATTGTAGGTTTTTTATTGTTTCAAATTTTGCATTTATGTTGTCTGTTTGTTCTTACAGTGTTTTCCTGAAATCTTCTAAAATTTTTATTGTATTCTCCTTGGTTTCTTCAATCTTTCTAGTGACCTTTTGAAGATACCTAATTATTATACTTTCGAATTCTTCTTCAGTTAGTTTTGTTACCTTTCTTCCTCAGAAATGTCTATTTCTATTACCTATCTTCTTCAGTTAGTTCTATTACATTTCTTCTCAGCTCTGCTTCTCGGTCATCTGTTTGAGCCACTCTCTCGTTTCTTTGTGTGAGCTAAAATTGTCTGTTATCCCTGGGGCATTTTGAGGTTGTACTATTTGTAAAAACAAACAATGAAGCTGTTGAACTGGAGGAAAGAAATCTCTGATGGGGAACACCTGCAATTCAAGGAGCTCATGAGGTGGCTGTAGAGATATGACAATAGAGTTCCTATTGGCCTTGGTGTTACCTATATTCGGGGCACTGAATCCAGAAGTAGTTCATGGGGGCCCTTGATGGAGCTGGTTTCAGTGTCTGTTAGGAGCACAGAGAGGCTGGAGACAGGGTGACTGGTTGAATGCTGGTCTGGTTAATCTTCAGATTTTGTAAGTCTGGAACCAAACCCACCTGAATCCAGGTACCAAAGTGACACACCAGAGTTGTACAGCCAGCCCTCAGCTCACACTGGCATAGCTCCTAACCACATGGCTCCAAACTCCTGGAGAGCAGGGTCTGCACAGACAGTGGATGAGGGTGGGAGCTGGCCACACTTCTGGTCACCAGGAGAACGTGGGGAAAAAGAATATATTGCACCTTTTCAGTCGCCCACGGAAATGCTAGGCCTCCCTCTGCTGCCAAAACTGCTCACAAGGTGATCGAGCTCATCTGGCCAGTCAATCACCAGTCAGTCTCCCTCTCTCCATCCCTGTTCAGCCTCTCCTCTCAGCAAGCACTCCATCCACCTCACTTACCTTTCTTCTGAAGTTCAGGGTGCCAAAGTTTTCATCTGTGTCTGTTTTATTTTGTCTCCCAGATCTTTGTTCTAGAAGGTCCATGTAGTGCATCTACCTAGTCTGCTATCTTGCCAGATGTTAAACTTAATTATTTTATTATAATTTTTTTAGTCCTGTTCATGTATTCCATATCTTGTTGCTTATGTCTTTGCTTTTTCTGAATAATATCCAACCTTAAAACCACTACCTTAGTCCAGATTTTGGTCATTTTAACAAAGAGATTATTACCATTTTCCTTCTTGTTCTCTACTTCTAATACACGCCCCAATTTTTCTTCGACATTGGAAAAAAATGATGATTTTCATGTTACTGTAAATCAGGACAAACTCATTTTCTGCTTATAAACCTCTTCCCCAGAATGTTCCAAATCATTTCACTCCCAACTCATCCTGTTTTTAGCAGACATAGTACTATACCATAAGATTTCCAAGTTAGTACATTTTTATGGAAGCATACTGCTACGTCATTCCACTTTGAGTCATCTTTGGAGTAGCAGCCAAGTACTTCAGCCACTGTGCCAGCAGGACTCCTGTTGTAGCAGGCAGTGCCCATGTAACCGCAAACAGTTACTGGTACCAGTGTTTAGTGCTTTCAGAGATCGGGATTATATTGGTTAAAGTGAAATCCTTTAAAAGATAAAGCCTCAAATCTCAAAGGCTTATTAACACAATAAAAATTATTTCTGATTAGTATAAAATTCACAGATGTAATCTGCAGGTAAGTTATGTTGTCCTTCAGTCTTCAGCACGTGGATCCCAAGGTCTCTGCAAAATGGAAAGAGCATGATAGGGGAAGTTCATACAGGGGAGCATACAGGGGAAAATGTTTGTAAGCTAGGCCTAGAAGTAGCATATGAATGAGTAAATGAGTAAATGGAAAGAGCATGATAGGGGAAGTTCATTCAGAAGAGCATACAGGGGAAAATGTTTGTAAGCTAGGCCTAGAAGTAGCATATGAATGAGTAAATGACTTCTGCTCACATCCCTGACTCAGGTATGTCATGTGTCCATACCTAACTATATTGTATGCCCAGGAAGAAGAGGAAGCAAAGCTGGTAATCAGCAAGCTATCTCTTCCACAGTCTCATCAGGAATAACTACTTCATCTCCACATGCTGCCCTACAAACACTTCACATTTCTACTCCTTCCCATTGTTTGCATAATTTACCTTCTCCCAGCTCTTTAAATGCAACAGTTTTCTTCAGATCTCAGAACTTTAACACACTGTATTTTCTCCCTAAAATACTCTCCTTCCTCTGTCTGCTAAGCCTGTACCTGTCAAGCCTGCACCTTCGGGTCCCAGCTTGAAAGTCATTTCCAAATTTGGTAACTGAAACACATTATCTCATTATTTGAATAAATCTTACTTTTCTAGTGAGGTTTTTATATATATAAAGATATTTATTTACGTTTACTTCCATTTGTATTTTATTTTGTAAACTGACCTTTATCCATTAACACTAGAATTTCAATGTTGTTGTTTTTTATCAGTTTCTGAGCATTTTGTATATATGAAAAAGAAGTACAATTGTCATATTTATTGTAAATATTTTATCAGTATACGTTACTTTTAGATTTATTATAATTGATTTTTCTCTTGTGGTTTCTTCAACTATTTTTCCAGTTTTCCTTTTATTTTTCTTTAATGGTAAACCACTCATTTTCCATAAATTCTCTTAGGTATTAATGGTACCTGGTTACGCTTTCTTCGTTGATCGCTCAGTTCCTAGATCTTACTTTAGAGCATCCTTCTCTATGGCTTCTCCAGAGCAGATGGATGTGGTAAGTATAGGATTTGCTTCAAGTCTTACCTGGCTTCAGTTCTAGTTTTGAATGTATGTGTTCATTTTGTACACATTATTTACTGGAAGTCTAAAGACCAAATGTTAGTTGAGAAATCATGAGCTACCATGAAAAGCTAGACACATGATAAAAACAAGTTGGAGTTAAATGTTGTTACAATTTCTCAGAACCTGCAGTATTGAAGATTAGCAACATGTTATACATAGAACCTCTTCTTCCTTCCTTCATTGAATTAGCATGGGAAGAAAAGTACAAATTAATGACAGTCATCAGTCTTTTCCTTGGAATAAAATCAGCTAGAATGCTTTGGGTTAATTCAATGGACTGCAAGAACAGTTTGAACCGCAAGGTCAGTCGTTCAAGCTCACCAGCTGCTCCTTGGAAACCCTATACAGGGTCGCTAAGAGTTGGAACTGACTCGATGGCACTTACCAATAAGAGTAAAATAGAAAACTATTCTTAAGTTAATCACAAAGTCAGGAGCCCCTGGGTGAGGTAAACAGTTAATAACATGTTTGGCTGCTAACCAAAAGGTTGGAAGTTCAAGTTCATTCAGAGTCACCTCAGAAGAAGATCTATTTACAAAAAAGGAGCCATTGAAACTCAGTGGAGCACACTTTTACTCTGACACACACAAGTTGCCATGAGTCAGAGTCGATTCAACAGGAACTAGTAATCACAAAGTCCAGCTGTAACGTAAACAAGAAGCAAATAAACAAAATCTTAAGACCATGTGTCTTAAGCATCTGGATTGGAGGAAGACTCATTAACAACCTGCGATAGGCAGATGATACAACCTTGTGTGCTGAAAGTAAAGAGGACTTAAAATATTTACTGAAGATCAAAGAGCATAGCCTTCTGTATGGATTACATCTCAATGTAAAGAAAACAAAAATCCTCACAACTGGACCAATAAACAATATTCTTATCAATAGAGAAAAGACTGAAGTTGTCAAGGACTTCATTTTTCTTGAACCAACTATCAACACTCATGGAAGCAGCAGTCAAGACATCAAACAAAGTATTGCATTAGGCAAATCTGCTGCACAAGACCTTTTTAAAATGTTGAAGAGCAAAGACGTCAGCTTGAGGACTAAGGTGTGCCTGACCCAAGCCTTGGTATTTTCAATAACCTCATATGCATGTGAAAGCTGGACAGTGAATAAAGAAGACCATAGAAGAATTGATGCTTTTGAGTTATGGTGTTGAAGGAGAATATTGAAAGTGCCATGGGCTGCCAAAAGTACCAATAGATCTGTTTTGGAAGAAATGTAGCCAGAATGCTCCTTGGAGTCCCAAGATGGCCAAACTTTGTCTCTCATACTTCAGATATATTGTCAGGAGGGACCAGTCACTGGAGAAGGATATCATGTTTGGTAAGGTGGAGGGTCAGAGAAAAAGAGGAAGACTCAATGAAATGGATTGGCCAAGTGGCAGCATCGATGGATTCAAGCGTGACAACAGTAGTGAGGTTGGCCCAGGATCAGGAAGTGTTTCGTTCTGCTGTGCATAAGGTCGCTATGAGTCAGTACTGACTTGCTGGCACCTAACAACAACAACAACAAGACTGTGTGTCTGGAAATCCCAGAAGAAGCATTAAAAATTGAACAATGCCTTTAACCTTGAAAAAAGTTTGTGCTTAACCTTGTTGTTAAATGCCATTAACTTGGTTCTGACTCATAGCAATGCTGTATAGAATTTCCAAGAAGCAATTGATGACTTTGAACTGCTGACATTCTGGTTTAAACAGACTTTGTAATCTAGTGCTTACCCTACAGTGCCACACTCCATGTGCTTATCCTTAGCAATAGTGATACCTTGAGTGTTTTTAAGAATACTTTTCATAAACTCTCTGTATTTATGTATCAATAGAGTTGGACAATTGAAATTATAGAAAGTATAATATTCAAGTGAGGGATTCCATAAAATAATAATCAGATGTAAGAATTCTATCACGTTCTATAAAAATAATTTGTTTGTAAAGGAAAGAAAATAAAGAGGATGATCTTGAGGGCCAAAAATTTGACAACAACAAAAACCCTGAAAATCTAATATGCTTATTTCTACATACATGAGTGGATATTGGTGGTAACTTCCCAGATAGACTAACATTAAAAGTGACTTTTCATTGCCTTTTTTCAACCTAAGACGGATAGTCTTTGTTTGCATTTTAGATATCATGGCAGACTTTTCCTAAGTAGCATTCTAATTTCACCAATTCTTACCTCTTTTCTATTTTAGGCTTTTCAAAGATTAGCCCAACTTATCAAAGAATCTTCATGAAGAAATCAAACTAATCAGTACTACTTGTGGATTTTTCAAAGATAGCATTTCTGTTTTGTGTTGAAGAAATGATGAGTGGCATTAGACTTACAGATTAGATTTAACCAAATATGTTATTTATATCATTCGACTATGTAAATTGTTATAGTGCCTTTAATCTGTCAGACGGCCAAAATATATTTATAACCCGCTTATATCTTTTGATAAGTTTACAACCTGAAAAAATTATTTTTATCTTTGATTTTATTGTAAAAGACTCTGTAGATGCTTTATAGTTCTCCATAAACTTTCTTTGAATATAATGTTTTATAATGAATTATTCTGAAATTTTTAAGGACAGCATTAAGTTAATGTGTTCTTTTTCTGTTTGTAGGAAAATTTAATGAGAGTTTGTAATAAAATTGTTAGAGTTTGACTATAATAAATGATTTTCAGTAAGGGTACAGCAGACATGTTATGCCATACAAATCCCTTAAAAATAAAATTCTGAAATCAAACTTCCCTCAAGAAGCAGACAAATTTATTTTTAGTCATGATGGGGAGATCATGGACTTAGAAAATCTTGATATATTATCATAATACCATATAATTTACAGATAGACCTTTTTATCAGTTAATATAATTTGAATTTAGTAAAGCCCTGTTGAGACCATTGATATATGCTTTCTTAATGATTTTGTTTCCTACCTTTAAAAACTTTATTTTTCCATCTGATTATTAAAGTCATATGGGGGTAAGTCAAAAGGTACTGTTAGTGGGGTTCCATCCAGTTCATACATGCGGAGGTTTATTCAAACAAGGTATGTTTAAACATGTATCTGCTATCAGGGATGACTGAAGACAAGTTCTCTCAGTAATGCATTTGTCTTGGTGTCATTGTGTATTGTCTAATAAAAAAAAGTCCAATCAGAACAGTGGGCTCTGAGGGGATCTGCTAAGTTAAGTTCAAGGCAGAGAGGTCATCTCAGAAGGTTACGTCATTGTTTCATGGGATTCCGAAGGGGTAATCCTGATAGATTTTCTTGAAAGATACAGGTGATTGTGGGAGCTTATTAGGAAAAAAGTTTAAGAAAATTGAAAACTGCATTGGTGAGGAAAAGGCCAGGAAAGTTGTGCTGATGGTTTCTTTTCCATCATGACAATGGACCTGCTCATTTTTCAAGGGTAACAAGAATTTCATTGAGAAACCTTATTCTATCCACACTACAAGTCCTAATCTTGTCCCCTTGAGATTTCTTTTTGTTTCCAAAACTCAAAGAGCATTCCAAAGGGAGCATAATTTGAATCCCTTGAGGATGCCAAAACTACCATTTTGACGTGGTGTAAATCCAGGAGTGTCAAATATTTTGGCAATAGGTAGATGGAAACACAGCCTTCAAAAGTATATAGACAGAGGAGGGTGGCACTTCCCTGACCGGGCAGGACAGGTACGCAGGCTCAGGAAAAAGTAGGAGGTGGTATCACAAATTGGGGCCCCCGCCTGGTAGACAGACAACTTTTGGGCAAACATAAAACATTAGGCTGCAACTATATGAACTTGTTTTTTTGAAGGATCAAACTATTGAGGAGTTACAAGCATTTTTAACTTCCACCCGCCTGCTCTGGGCTCCTACCTGGGGACGGTCCCACCCACTGCAGAACTTATCAGGGCCTGAGCAGACCCATTCAAAGGGCTGACGCTCTCAGAGAACTAGTGGGGCCACAAGAACCAATATAGTCCATCCTAGGGGGGTCCTCATTGCCACAGTAGGCAGTACCGGCGTGTATATAGGACAAATTGGGGGGCTCAAGGCACAGGGAGACAGAGAGGCATTTTAGAAGTCATCAAAAACAGACCCCATCTGCCTATAAGCACCAAGCCCATCCCCCATTTCTTTGGCCTAGGCCAGCACTCTGCCCAGCCTCCTAGACTCAGGCCCGCCCATCAAAGCATCAAAGTTTGGGCCAGCCCAAGCTGAGTAGCAGCTTAATACCAGTAACAAAGCACCCCTGCTGTGGTTTAATCAGCCAGACTGCAAAGCCTTTAGAATTGCAGAAACTGTGGTTCTAGCTCAACAGCTGCTATTGGAAACCCTATACTGGGTAACTGTGGATCATAATCCACCCCAGAGCATTTCAACATGTAGCAAAACTCAGAGGGGCCTGAAACAGAGCAAGAACATTATAGACTAACTGAAGAAGCAGGGAGGGCAGGGCTTGCTGGTGGGTAGGGTGAAGACATAGTGAAGGTCGCGGTGAAAAGTGGCTTGGAATTCCAGGCAGAAAGGAGGCAAGACAGAGCTCCGGGATTCGAACCCACAACGATAGGAGTGGTTTGGAGGCTTGGAGGTTTGTAGCCTGTGGAATTTGGAGCCGAGGCGGGAGGTCACGTACCCTTGAGTCCGCCGGCTAGGCTCAGAGGCCTGGGCCCACATCCTGGGCTAGACAGAGTGGCTGGACTAAATAGGGGCTGCAGAGATGCCACGGAAACGCTCCACAGGAACATTTAGGGGGAAAAAAAAAAAAAAAAGGTGCACGGTGTGCTTTGCTGATTTGGGGTGGTTCTGATCTTGTTTTTTTTTCTTTGGTGTCAGGAGTGAGTGCGCTCACGGTTTGCCTACATACATCTGGGTGAGTGGAGGTGGGGCTTAGCCGAGTGGCCAGGACCCACCCCCACCGCTGGCACTTTCCTCTGCCAGGAGCTTACGCACCCAGGCCAGGCTGAGATGCGGATTTGGTCTGCCTTTCTTCACTGGTTTGAGAGGGAGCCCAGCATAGTCCTGTGGGTTGAGATGCTGCACTGCAAATTCTTTTGAACGACAAGGCCGGTGGGACAGAGCCGGTGGTTCATGCTCACCAGCCACTCATCGGAAACCTTATACAGTAGACACAGATGTGTGTCCTATTTGGATGGCTTACATTCACTGGTTTGAGAGGCGTCCCATTGTAATGCTGGGGATTGGGGTGCCACTGCAGGGCTTTTTGGTCTACAGGGTTGGTGGTTCAAGCTCACGGGCCACTCTTCAGAGGCCCTGTGTGGGGGACACGGATGCGCGTCGTATGTGGTCTGCTTTTTTGTTTTCACTGGTTTGAGAGGAGTCCGGCACAGCACTGTGGGCTGAGGTGACGCACTGCAGGGCCTTTTGAGCTGCAGGGTTGGTGGTTCGTGCCTGCCAGCCACTCCTCGGATACCCTATACAGGGTCGCTATGGGTTGGAATTGACTAGACAGCACCTAACAGCAAGGGGAGGAGGGCAGAAGTGACTGAAAGAGAGTTAGGACTTTAAAAACCTACTTATATTAAGCTACAGATTTTT